ATTATTTTTCAAAGTGTCGCATTAATATTTAAGAGCGTTTTGTTATTTAAAACGAATACAATTTTATTTAGAATTCATTCTCAAAACTGTATAATGAGTGAAAAAAAAACCACAAGGATCACAAGCGAAATACAAAATGGGCTGGGGGTGAATAAATTAATAATAATACGGTCTAGATGTCAAGGATAATGTATTCACTGAATAGGCGATATATTTTCAAGAGGACGCACGAATACGCAAAAACTTGGAAATAGGCGAACAATGGTAGAGCTCGCAATATCTGGGATGGCTCGCGCTGCAATATCGACGACACAGAAGACCCACGTCAAATAGAAGTCATTCTGCGTTTCGTCTATGAGTGAGCGTGCCAGAAGCTTAACTTTTAGTCTTCTCTCTCCCTTCAAGAACTTAACGTAGAAGGTAGCGCATAGGAAGAATTATCCTCTTCCTGGATCTGAAATTGCATATGTCTATGGACATTTGCTCTGCTATAACACTGTATTTGCCACCTTCTTATAAAACATTATAGATCCAAAAGTTTAGATGGAATGATGGATCTTTGTTAGAGTTTATAGCCTAAAATGATGAACGTATTTCGGTAAAATTTGGCATATGTAGATATAGATGTTTTATAACATAACGAGCTGTTGTCCGCGACTTCGTCCGCGTGGTATCAGAAAACATACAAACTATATAAATAACAAAAAGCTACGTATCCCTCGGAAACCGGACACCTCAGGGATGAAGCTTATCCTATGTATACTCCAGACTTTGTTTTACATCTGCGCCAAATTTCAATAAGATATGTTGAACCGTTGCAGAATGATCGAGTAAACATTAAAAAACTAAATTAATGAATCCCACGGGAACCGTAACTTATCCCGGCATAAAAAGTAGCCTATGTGTTCTTCCAGACTATGCTCTAAACCTGTGCCAAATTTCATGGAGATCCGTTCAGCCGTTCAGGCTACAAACGCTAACAAACATCCATCTATCCATCCATCTAAATTTTCGCATTTATAATATTAGTAAGATAAAAAAGCGGTGGTTATAATAACTGTTACTTATGTAATATAAATATTCGATTATTTCCTACATCTACCTTTTTTTTTAAATCATTTTATGCATTAAGAGTTAAGCTTAACTTGATAATCATTTTTAAATCAACGTCTAAGTTGTAACAAGATAGTCAAGTTATCTTTTCAGTTAACACCGCTGACGCCTGAAATTCAGAGATAATACGGGAATGGCTGTCTGTTTGTAAACGTCGACAAGTTCGCGTCAAAGCCTCCATTAGCACAAGTGGATAATTGTTCAAACTGACTTGTCACATTTTGAAGTAAATTTTATTTTTAATTAAATAAAACTTTAGTGTTATTTAAAACAATTAAGAAAAGATTGTAACTTCCAATGTACACTAGCTGTTGCTCGCGACTTCTTCTGCGTGAAATTAAAAAAAAATAATATAAATTTAGTTTGCATTACTCACTGACAAAGTAGCTTTTTAACGGCCAAGTAGTTTTTGAGCTATTTCAATATATACAAAAATACAAATCTTTCCTCTTTGTATATTAGTATATATTGCTTTCCTACTTTTTAGAGAAATTTGTTTTTTTGTAACATTTTCAAAGTTTTTCCTTCCCTCCAAAGGAAAAATTAGATAGAAATAATTCCCTAATTATTTAAGGTTGTATTTACGTAATGTTAAACAATTAAAGTTATACAATTTGCGATCCTAAGTCTATCGAGCTGCCAATATACTTGGACGATTTATAATGAATGCATTCCGCGGCTAAACAAAGTTACCTTCGTTAGCGGCCCCCTGGCGGAATTTTAACGAAGATGCAATGTTCTGAACATCTATAACAAGTGGAGTTTACAAGAAATCTGAGTAGGAGCCAACTTTTGAACATGTTGCGATGTAATCTAGTTAAATAGTGCAGTTTATTTAATGTAGAAACTTCACTGATCTCTATAAATAGATAGGTCAATACTTAGAAATGACATCTACGCTTCAAAGTTCCTCATAGCTATCATTAGTCTGAGTATTCGTAGGCAACCATCAGAGACGTTGACGACAATCGAATCGACACAACCATAGTTTATAGCCTGTCCATTTATAAAGGTCAGTAATCCCATAACAGTAACTAAACTATTTTACAAATCGTTTCGTGTGAAAAAGTGTTGGTCGAGTGATTTATGATCGAGTCGCGTCGCAGAGAAATGCAGATCGCAAAACTTCACAACATTTTCACGTGTCATAAAGCGCGCACATTCGTCACGATGTCGTGTGCACGAAGCGCTTTCGCTTTATTACTATCGCTGAAATTTAGTAGCGCTGTAAGCGCTTTATTGTTTCATATCACTGAATTTGCTATTGAGTTGTTGTGTCTTACGTCCGGTTTCTGAAAGACTAATTAATTTACTATTAATAATACGTGTAACGTGCAATATTCAATCGGATTGTTAGAATATCAATTCAATTAAGGTTTTGAAAGTCTATTAAATTATAAAGTGATTTGAATATAAACCACAAACATTTTTTTTCTTCTTGGCTTTCACACTTAAGTGTATTTAGCCACCACAAATATTTAGAACTATTAGACATTAACAAAAGCAGTTTTCATGGTATTATTTTACAGTAATAGATATATGTGCGTAAGCAATATAATATTTTAGCTCGTATTCTAAAGGCAGCGTGGCCGAGTGGTCTAAGGCGCTGGTTTTAGGCACCAGTCCGAAAGGGCGTGGGTTCGAATCCCACCGCTGTCAAAACTCTTTTTACTTAAATTCTAGTTGGAAAAGGCATACTAATGTTTTGTTACCTTTTTGATGAAATCTGTTGTCTTTATTTTTTATGAAAGTGATTATATTATATTTGTTGTGTTTTAAGAAAAAAAAAAAACAAAATCACAGCTTGACGTTTATTATAGCTTCTTTATTTTCAACTATTTTTACTATTTTCTTTATTTTTAACATCAAAAATATTTAGGCATAAATAAAAACATCATATTTGAGATCTTTTCCTTTATCGCTCTTCATGCGGAGGTTAACAAATGAAGAACCAATTCCTCCCGCGGTAACGTTGGCCGAGGCATCGGAGTTAGTCAGGTCGTAAGCCAGCACTCCCTAGTTAAACAGAAAGGATGTAATATCTACAAACTATAACAGGAGTAGCCAAGCACTGGCACGCGTGTCATAAATTGCACACATGTTTTGGGTATGTCCATAATCGTAAAAACACTATGAAAAATCGTGTAAAAATAATTGCAAACTACGATGGCACGTCTAAGACCGCATTAAACGTTTAAAAAAATGGCACTTTTTGCTTAAATGCTTACCACCCCTGACTTATAACAGATATTGGTAACTTAAAGGATACAGCTTTTCAGATGGATTCTTTGTCGCGATTAGCCACTTATCTCGTCTCTTTCTAACATACAGGTGACACGAGAAAGAGTAAATTCGCCTCAGATTATCCTGACGCTATTCGCGTTTAAAACCATCATATTTCATACTAATTTTATAAATGCGAAAGTTTAGATGAATGTTTGAGTTTGTAGTCTAAACGGCTGAAGGGATTTCAATGAAATTTGGTATAGAGGATAGTCTGGAAGAACAAATAGTCTACTCGCTTTTGTTTTTTTTAATCCCACGCGGACGGAGTCGCGGGGGAAAAGTAGCTTTAAAGTAAAAACATCCCCTATTTATTTGCTTTAGACTCACCTGAATGTAACGCCCGTACAGTTGATTATATGGTATTGTGATGTTCACAGTTTCGACTCTTTTTTGAAACATTTTCGAACTGTATTTGACTGTACGTTGGTACACTAACTCCTTTTGTACACTCGTGCCCATAAATGTATGGGAACATTCGACTATCACTACAGCTGCTATCAAAAATGATACGATGAAAATTTTCATTTTTTTTTTCAATATTAATTTAACGTTTCGTTAGTAAAATAGAATTGAATACTATTGAGAATTTATTTATATACTATTCTTATAAAGTAATTAAGATAGTTAATGATTAGAATCAACCGCAACGATATTGTTTACTTCATCCTCAAATGTAGGTAGTCATATAAAAGTAATTAAGATTCACTAAGTAAATAAACAATTAACCAGTCATTACATTTAAAGAATATAATTGTCACTTAAGTTGTTAACTTCTGTCATGCTTTTCCGTATACATATCATATAAAAAATTTAATTGCGTAAGTGTATGTACAAAATTCTCCTACTTAGATAATTGTGGAAGAAATAAAGTGAATAGTTTAAAGTTAAAGGTTGCCAAAACTGAACAAACTTTATTAGAAAATTATTTCATCTTACTAATATTATAAATGCGAAAGTCTAGATGGATGGATTGTTAAAGCTTGTATCTTAAACGGCTAAACGAATTTCGATTTGGCATAGATGTAGAGGATAGTGTGGAAGAACACATAGGTCACTTTTTTATTTCGACACGGACGCGGTCGCGGGCTAGTCTTGAAAGAGTTTCTACATAATCTTGTTGTTAAAATATTGTCTATGTGTGACATTTGGAAAGCGTCTTTTTAAAGTTATTGTTACATTTCTCTAGAGGGTTCTTTGCTATCAGCTTCGAATTTCAACATTCTGTCATTTACCGCAGCACTCGACGTCGCTCACATTCTTCTTTGCTATTAGAGCAGTTGCATGTCTTTCAATTTTATTACCATCAAACTGCGTTAGTGTTTTGTTTCCTGTTTCATACAATCGATACATACTTCGGTATTCCTAACCCTTTGTAGCTATCCACTTCTATCTTAACGCAATTAAAAAGAAATTAATACCAGCAATCTTGTAGAAAATAGACTTTAATTGTTGTAAAGGGATAGATTATTTATGGTAAAGACCAAGATTTTGAATTGAGAATTTATTTTATTTCAAACATTCGTGTTTTCTTGCATATTCATCTTAGGCAACATATGGAAGTATTCCGTGAGAATAAACTGCATCGATCCAGCTGTGTCCGGAGAATAAATTTTATTTTCCTAAAACTTTTTTATAAAAGAAATTTTAAGAATCAGGTATTTTAAGGGCTAAACTAAATATTTTTCATAATATTGATAGTTCGTAATCTATGGTTTTTAAAATGATTTATTCTGAAACTAGCTGTTCCCATGCGACTTCATCCACATAAAATTATAATAATATCATTTTATTGTTCACATGTCTCAAATTATCAATTGCAAATGTCAAAGTGACTTAACATTATGTCAAACCATGGCAACCTTGCTTCTTTAATATTGGCAACAATTTATGGTCTCTTTCCCACATTAGGGTTTTTATCCAAAATATTTACCCCTAAGTTTAACGGCGTGAAAATATATAGCCTAAAGCGTAAAGCGTGAAACTTGAAGATTATTTGTCAAAGGTAACATATAAACAGCCTAATATTAAAGTAAAATCGGACGGAGTCGCGGGCGAAAGCTAGTAGTTACATATTTTACCGAAATGTGAAGGTTCATATATTTCTGGTTAACTATACAGTTAATAGAAACGTCGAAGTCTGTGACAAAAAAATATAATCAAGCAATCTGCACTTACACAGTAATCCTATTGGGAAAATGTAACGTTCACAAAATTAAGTTAACGTGGAGTGACGCCGACCGCGTCCCGCATAATGTAATTACTTTATCTTGTAAAATTATTTACTCTGTACGAAAACAAATAGAAAAACAGACGTATTTCGTATTGTACTATGTGTTTTGTTTTTTCATAAAAATCCTTTGACTTGCGTTAAGGCCGAATATTGAAACGATATTTGTCCTAGCGTTTTAAATAATAAACCCACGCTTCAAATTCAATTAACATTTTGAAGTTAGCGGCGCTCACGAAGTGAGATGCGGTTCGGAATTCGGCCAATTAAATTACACCTATCTACAATTATAAGTCATTTAATCAGATTTTCACTTGTTTAACAAAACAAAAACAAAAGTAACCCTATGTATTCTTCCAGACTATGTGTATTACATCTATCATAAATTTAATCGAGATGCTACAATTAATCGAGACTTTAGGCTACAAACATTAAAAATTCGTCCTTTTAAACTTTCGCGTTTATTATATTAGAATGTTTTTCAAATAACATCAGTAAACACAATACTGCGTAGATGTATCGTAAGAGAATTATTTAATGCAACGTTTTTGATATTCCACGTGGATTGGAAAAAATCGTTGGATTCTATTCAAGGTTTTTCCACCGATGACTTCGTTTTCCAGCTCGCTCCGCGCCGGAAGTGGTGACACCTGCGATCACGACAAATAACTGATTTAAAAATCGAAGTCTATTTCAACACACAGCCAAAGCGTTCCGTATTTATTCATACTAGAAAAATGGTCAAACGACTACCGGAATGAATTTTTATGGAGTTATATTTTTATTAATTGTGTTTATTTGGATATAATTGGCATGTATACCTGATGTAAAATGTTGTAAATGCTATTTGGTTTTGACTCATATTTTTGGCATCGTAAAGAAATTTGAAAAAGGTAGCATAATTGCAACTTGAACAAAAAAGGGGTAAAGTCATTTCGGTGCAATGTAAATAAACTAATTATGCACAAGACGTTGACATAGTTTAGAATCTTCATGACACGCGCTATCATCTACCTTTTTTTATGTATAAATGCCCTAAAACGTATTATGTTTCAATGTGAAGTCGGTTCCGGCACAGAATGGCCAACATCCGACCGCTTCGCTAAAACTATCTCGGAAGTGCACTTATGTTCTTAGAACGTGTTCATTACTTGTGCTTCCTGAACAACTATCTATATTAGTAAAGTCTTTACGACTAATTATCTCTGAGAAATCGCGTATACAACTAAAGTAGGAGTTTCGAAAAGCAGGCGACTGTAAAAATAAGTCTAAGGTTTTTAAAATCGCGCAAAGTATCCCCTATAAGTAGAATAAAGCCACAGAAATGATGATGTATTAAAATAAATGGTTCATATAGACGAAATTATTTATATTAATCGCGATTTTTGTTATAGAACAACCTGTGCTTAATTTCGCGCCGTTAAAGTCGCGGGCAAAGTTTAGTATTATTTTAATAGCTTTCGCCCGCGATTCCATTCGCGCGAATCAAAAAAAAAAAGTAAGTAGCCTATGTGATCTTCCAGACTATACGCTACATTTATGCCAAATTTCATCGATATTGGTTTCTGTACTTAGTACAAAGTATAGCCATTACTAAATCAATTTTAATGCCATCATTAGACTCACATATCTCGTTTCAATAAAAAACAAAAATATGAAATGTTGAATAGATCCATGCTTAGTGGAAACGTTTACTAAAACGGTATAAAATATTAAAGTTAATATCACGTAAGTAATATTTCACATTATTGCAAACTTTCATACTCCATGTAACTTTAAGTGATAAAATGTGTAAAGTCATGTTCAGATATCGAGAACTTTCCGCTTACAGAATAAACTTTTCTACGCTTTTGACTCAACTACTAGAATTATATGACTTAAATCTTAAGATATTGTTAAAAATTAACTAATATTCCTTTATACTATTACTAGCTATTTTAACAGTGGTAGTGCCCGTTTTAACATCTTAGCACTGCAGGGCCGGTATGCCCGGTGTAATACGACGACCACACAGAAGACAGGCGTGAAATGGAAGCAATTCCGTGTTACGTCTGATGAGTGTGGTGCCGGAGGCCTAATTTAAGTCCCTTTCTCTTTACCACCCTTTTCTTATAAGGAGAGGATGGGAAGGGAAAGTGGATTTCACGGAGGAGGAGATACATAGGAAGGGGAAATATGCTCTTTATGTGCATCTCCTCCTCTGTCGGATAAGGGTAGGTAACGCATTTGCAATTGCGGATGTCTATGGGCAGTGGTCGCTTCGCCATTTTGGCGGATTCAGGTGGCCGCTTGCTCGTTTGCCACCTTTTGACTTTCAGACTATCCTCTACATCTATGCCAAATTTTATGGAGATCCGTTTAGCAGTTTAGGCTACAAACTCTAACAACCATCCATCCATCTATGTAAACTTTCCCATTTGTAATATTAGTATGAAAGATTTGTATTTTTGTATGTATTGAAACAACTAAGAAACTGAGGTGCCGTTTAAAAAAATTCTTTCACCCTTAGGTATGTTGGTAATTTATCTGTGAGTAACATAGGCTACATTTTTATGATTTCACGCGGACGAAATCGCGAGTAATAGCTAGTTTGTTTTTATATTCATAATATAAATTAAAATGGATGACTACAGCTTTTTTGTTTTATTTTTAAAGTTTCCACATCTCAGTTTTCCGGAACATTTAATGTAACAGATAGGTGCGGTCGGGCCACGGACGGACAGTAAATTGTGAATTATTTAATACGTGACGCTCGTACATAATTCGATTTTATGATTTTATAATTAAGGTTTAAAATTGAAAAAAAATAGTATATAATAGGGAATAAGTACAGTCGCTAAAATCCACGGTGTTCTAGGTTCGAAGGAAGGAAAGTAAAGGGCTATTAAGACGTGTGATCTGTCAATTGGAACTCTGTCTCTACCTACCCCTTTGAGTTACCGCCCTTGAGTGAGTTATTCAAACATTACTTTGGATTTATAACAAATTAGCTATCGCTCGCAAATTCGCCCGCGTGAAATTAATAAAAACATAGCTTATGCTACTAATAACGTGGCATTTAATGGTGAAAAAATTTTTGAGTTCGTCCCAGTAGTTTTTGAGTTATTTCAATACATACAAAAATACAAACCTTTCCTCTTTATAATATAAGTATAGATCAACGTTCAAAAGTAAAGTAAATTAAATTGTATTTAATGTAAATTTCATCTGGTCATCTACTAAGTTATACTTAATATTTCTAACTTAAAAGCACATAATTAAAAGCTCTCTCGTCTTCTATCTACTTGCGAACCAGCTT